TTTTTTTTTTTCTTGTTGACCGCTTATATGGCACTGAAATTTAACCTTAACTTAATGTTTACAGTAAATCACTTTATCTATGACTTTTTTCACATTGGTTTTTACTCGCTTTTTTTGGCTATTATTGTTGCTGATGCAAGAAGCAATTTTGAACTCATTTTTCAAAAAAGGTTCTTGTGGTATTAGACTAAGGAATTACAGCTGGTAGTGTATCAAAAAAGTTTGTGAAAAGTTGTTGTACGCTCTGAAAACATTAAAAAAAAAAAAAACTTTTTTTTAACTACCAAAAATAGTTAAAATAGTTCTAAGAAAAAGTTTTAGTTCTTAGCGAAAATAGTTCTTAGCTGTTTATCCTACCGTTAAAAGTTTGAAGAAATACGACTGTTTTGCCGGTGACTCATTTTAGTTCTTTTTTTTTGTTATTGTCATTCTTTTTAACTGTTAATGATTATTCATCAGTAAAATGTTTTGTTTACATTTCTATATGATTGTTTAAAAGATGGGTGAAAAAATTTTGGAAACGTTTGCATTTTTCAACCCAAAAGGAAAAGCATACGTCAAAAGGTAATCTAAGCGGTTATAAATTGGTGGAACAACAGATTATTGTCAGAAGTCAGGTAACCAACCGTGTTACTGTTAGATAATTTAGAGTCGATGTAACTTTCTTTATTTTACTGATGATATGTCAATTAATGGCACTGATAATATGTGTATTAATCTGTTTTGGTAACTTTAAACATTAAAATAAATTTTTCGACAACAAATCAAATATACGCTTGTTACTGTTAAAGCGAGAATTAATATATTTTAGTGATGGTCCTAAATGATCAAACCGTATTGGTAAACTAATCCAAAAATTTGCAGCAGATGCAATCAGTAAATACCATTTTATCCTCCATATTATGTGTAGGCAAAACAGTTATTGGCTTTTCTGATACTTGCTTTGTCAACTAAGTTTTCCTTTTTTTGCAGAAAACCACTAGAGCCTCCAGTTAAACCTAAAAAAGGTTAGAGCTATGTTACTGTTATCATCTGTTCTGTCTGTCGCCTATATTATTGAATGTTTTGCTGATGATCAACGTGAA